ATATAAATGGATATAATATATTATAATACAGAATAGAATCATTTTAACGCCAGTTATACCTCCAATATTTCAGTTGTTTCTCATTTTAACAAATGTTTTTCAATTACAAGTGAAATAATCTGTATATACAAGGGATTATTTCAATGTATCATTTCATTTAAAAATAGAAATAATGTGTAATTATTTGATATATATGTTATTGATTTTTCATATTTATCAAATAATCCTATGTCACTTTTTTTTTTGTTTAATTTGACGTTTACGACTACCGAGAAAAATATATGGCATTGTAAACACTTGCACGATGATGATACAATCTTAGTGCTATAATTCTTTGTCTCGCGGAAGACGTATCTTCTACTTGCAAAGGCGATTAAACAAAATTCTCCTATGGGGCTTTATCATTTATCACTGTTTTTTACGCGTCGAGTGAGTTCGAGTACCCGAATAAAAGATACGATCCTTTTATCACAGCTGGATAATAGTGTGAAATGTGGATCGTGGATAGTAGTCTTACTTTACCAGCGGTGATGATAATTAAGTCGTCTGTATAAAATAGCGGAAAGTGGACAAGCAAGACAGTCATATAAAAATAGATCAGCGAGAGCGGCTAACAGCTTTCGATATAAAATCCGTTCGATCACCGATTTCCATTTAATACGAAAGTGAGTTTAATCGACGTCACAGCTATCAAGTAGCTTTTACTTTCCAGAAATATTCAATCGTCAACGTATATCGTTTCGCGCTACAGTGACTATTTGTTATTTTTTTTCAATATTTAATTTATTCTTAATTTAACTTAATAACTTCGTTATTAAGAGTTTCTTGAGCTTTTGCAACTTGCTTTCGATAATTAAATGAAAAGTGGTATCTCTTGGTGATATGTGATATTAATCAATTTTCAAGGCATTGGCTTCTCATTGGTAATCTCCTTCGAACCTTGATCAGTCAAAAAAGCTAAATTTTATTACAAGAACGTGGCAGAATGTGTGTGGCAGATGTGCACTAGTTAGAGACTGCACACAATAAAAGGAATAGAGAATAGGGAACAGAAAATAAGAATTTCAATCTATCATAATAAATAATGTGGAATACACAGTTTCTGATAGGTTGAAATTCTTATTCTCTCTTTCCTGTTCTCTATTTCTTTTATTATGCGCAGCCCCTTATAACCAGTAATTCTTAGTTGTTTTGCGGTCATCGCTGTGTGAACCTACCCGGATCACGATTTTACACTCCCCACTATCAATTGGAAGTTCAACGATAGTTCTTCTTATCGACCAATTAGACGGACAGATCACTGGGGCTCGTCCGCAAGCAAAACATTCTGCAATCACATATAAAGGAAGCGCTTTAAGAGAAACAAACAGTGGTAACATGCCAAAATTCCAAGATATCAGCTGGACGAATTTGACGCGAGTTTCGCGGCAATTCGACAACAAACAAAACTTCTCCATCAACTGTCGCTGTTTCACCACGGGCCATCGTTTCAGTTTAACTTCGATTCCGAAAATCACTCGTTCCACGCATTTTTTTGCACCGTTTTTCACGATCGAAAAAGCTCGCAGGATGCCGCACGCTGTCAATATTTCTCAGTAAGTATCCACTTCCTTTGATTTTTTAATAAAAAAGCAATAATTGTAATAATAATAATAATAATAATAATAATAATAAAACAATAACGCTATTAATAAAAACTTAAAATATATAAAACAGAAAGACATTGGAAACGAGACGAATGCACATTCATTCTTCATTAATTAATTTTCCATTTAATGCTCACTCTATTATAGACATGATGTAACTAATGTACTCTAAAATCATTAAATTAATATTTTTAATCTAAAAATTAAAATTCAAATCTACAAATATGAAAAGGAAATTCATTCTTTAAGTTTACACGAACTTTACGATTATAGAATTTTTATCTGAATAAGAAATCGCTGCATACATTCATACAAGAACAAAATATTTAAAATTATAACTTAAAAAAGCTTAAAAATAAATTACTATTACAATAGTATCGTTCAATCAAATTTTTCCGGAAAAGAATTAAATTATTAAATAATTTGTTGGTAAAAAAATATATCATATATATATATTTGATATAATTTTGCAATAGTAAAAATTAACACAATTTTATTTATAATGTTATTTTCGTTTAACATGTTTCAATTATGCCTTTTCAGAATCTCGAGATTTATCGTGACTTACGCAGCAAAAGACCCATTATTAAAAAATGGATTTGATTATATCGGTAAAATACCGCTCTTAAACGCATGCACGGTAGAGATCTCATCCCAACTTCGTTATTACATCGAGGAATGCGCTTTGCTAAGTAATCCTAAAGACATTTATATATGTAATGGTACAGATATCGAATATATGCAAATGTTAAAAATTCTCCAGAAAAATGGGACTATCGAAAGTTTGCCGAAATATGAAAATTGGTGAGTGATCCAGGTTCTTCCTGAACTATAAACAGAAAAGATCTACAGACTACTCTATTAAATCTTATTTCATTATTTACACTGTTTAACAAAAAATAATTTCTTTTTTCAATTCATAAGAATTTAAGAAAAATAATTCGTATATAATACTCAAGCATATTAAATATTAATTGTATATCTCAATATTAATTGTATATCTCGGTATTAAAAGTCAATTTATTATGCTTAAATTATTTTTTTCACAAATGCATTTTATATAACAGCTGGTTGGCAAAGACTAATCCTGCGGATGTGGCACGCGTTGAGAAACGTACGTTCATCAGTACAGACTTGGAAAAGGATACTATTCCTACACCACGTAAAGATGTAACTGGAGAGCTTGGAAATTGGATCTCTCCTAATGATATGGAAAAAGCTATTTTGGAACGTTTCCCAGGTTGTATGAAAGGTCAGCAGAAATTTTGAATATATGACTTTCAAATATTATATTAGGTGTTGGAATTAATTCGTAGCGTTTTACAAGTGATGGGAAGTACTTTCATTAATGTATTTTTTAATGCTCATGTGAAATAAATAACATTCTTTCATTAAAAACGCTACGAATTAATTCCAACACCTAATATTATATGAATATATGTAAACAATATACCAAATATCATAAATATACTTGTATAAATAATTAAAAATTATTTATTGTTATATGAATGCAATAGATAATTAGATTTTTGTGACGTAGGACGCACCATGTACGTGATTCCTTTCAGTATGGGACCCGTAGACTCTCCACTCTCTAAAATTGGTATAGAAATTACCGATTCGGCTTACGTAGTCTGTTCAATGAGAATAATGACTAGAATGGGAGAAAAGGTACTCGAAGCTTTGGGAAATGACGATTTCGTTAAATGTTTACACTCGGTGGGTGTTCCAAAGCATAATTCAAAAGTCAGTGTAAGTCATTCATGGCCGTGCGATCCTGAAAGGACGATTATCCTTCATAAGCCCGCGAAAAATGAGATTGTATCCTATGGAAGTGGTTACGGTGGAAATTCTCTATTAGGAAAAAAATGCTTTGCGCTTCGAATTGGTTCAACAATAGCCAGGAAAGAAGGATGGCTTGCTGAACATATGCTCGTATGTTTTGTACTTTTTTCTGTCTTCATCTTTCATTATAATTTATCCTTCTTGTTTCCTTATTAATGATAAGAAATAGTTTAATATAGAAATAATTTTATTGTTATTTTATTAATATTATTTGATTAAATTCATATGACTTCTTGCGTGACTTTCTAATCCAACATAGCAATATGAGCTAGATTCAGAGCAAGATTAGCATTAAAAATTAGCTCTATAAATATATGCTAGAATATGCGATTTTAATTTTAAAATAAAAGCAATAATAAAGTGAAGTTTATTCTCTACTTCAGATACTAGGTATCACAAATCCTAAGGGCAAAAAACGTTATATTGCCGCCGCTTTTCCAAGCGCTTGTGGTAAAACAAACTTGGCTATGATGCAACCTACTTTGCCGGGTTACAAGATTGAATGCGTAGGAGATGACATCGCATGGATGAGATTCGATAACAAAGGAAATTTACGTGCCATTAATCCGGAGAATGGATTTTTTGGAGTTGCTCCCGGTACGAGTTCGGCTACGAATCCCAATGCTATGAAAACTATTTTCAAAAATACCATCTTCACTAATGTAGCGTCTACTAGTGATGGAGGAGTATATTGGGAAGGAATGGAAAAAGAAGTTGCAGATAATATCAAGGTAACGATAGAACGATAACTGTCTATAAGCGAAATTAAATGACAATACGAAAACATCGCAAAAAAATTTAAAATTTTTTAAAAAATAGTACTTGAGATTTATTCGCTATTTCTGCATTATTTTAATTCAATTTTTAGAATTTAATGTAATAGTATTATTAAAAATACGACAAAGTATGTGAGTACGACATATATATGATTACACACACACACACACACGCACACACGCACACACACACACACACACACACACACACACCAAGATTTTTTAAAGTACGATATGTAAATTATATTATATATGCAAAATTAGATGAGAAAAACTATTTGATCTTATATTTTTCTCGGAATCCTAGAAGCGGCGAATGAAAATCTGTCTTTTAACCTATCTGAACTTATATTATTCATGCCAGCAGCCTTATCTTACGCAGTCACTATATAGTATTCAAACTTTGTACTGTTGTCAAACGTACGCGTCGCATTTCATTTATGATTGAATGAGTCAAGCAGCGTTTCTGCATCTTGAAATTCCTAGATCACTTTGCAGTTCTCGGATGATTAATCATTGTTTTCCATTAACAGCTCATGAACTTTCTCAATCATTTCGAATTGTTTACTTGTTGATGGCCTGCTTGAACATTCGATTCGGTCTGAAATGCGATTTACGCATTAGACAATAATTTAAAATTTGCCTGTTAGACAACAATTGAGAGTACTGTTAATATAATGCTACAATGCTTTGAAATATTCTTTGATTGCTCAATTAGTAAAACTCTTTCTTCTACTTGATCAATCAAATGCTTTAAAGCATTTGTAGTAAGACTTTGATTGCACTCTGGATAAGATAAGGCAGCCGGCGTGAGTGATATAAATTCAAATAAGTTCAAGGTTTCTTATCATTTAACGTTTTTGAAAACAGCCTGTGATCCAAGAAGAATAATAAAATTAAATACTTTTTAATTAAACCTCACATGTATGCACAATATTTTTATCTTATTATAGGTGATCGATTGGAGAGGCAATGATTGGTTCAGAGGTTCTAAGATACCAGCTGCTCATCCAAATTCAAGATTCTGTACTCCAGCAAAGCAATGTCCCATTATTGATCCCTGTTGGGAAGATCCAGCTGGAGTCCCAATCGATGCTATATTATTTGGAGGACGTAGACCCGAGGGTGTACCTTTGGTTTATCAAGCTCGAAACTGGCAACATGGTGTTTTCATTGGTGCTGCAATGAGATCTGAAGCTACAGCCGCTGCGGAACATAAGGTATATTAATGAACATTTATCTCTGCATCTAATTATTTTGATCAAAAGAGACGAGAAAGCAAGTACAGATTTCAATATAAATATAGATTCTATATTAACTTAAAATATATTTATAGAAGAATTAGAAATTTAAAAAACAATTCTATAAGAGAAAGTTATAAACTAAAGCTATTGAATCCAATACATTTTGCAGGGTAAAGTAATCATGCACGATCCGTTTGCCATGAGACCCTTCTTTGGATATAATTTTGGACACTATCTTGCCCACTGGTTGAGTATGGCAGATGTGAAGAACGGCAAATTACCAGCGATATTCCATGTGAACTGGTTCAGGAAAGATTCGAGCGGGAAGTTTCTGTGGCCAGGATTTGGTGAGAATTCACGTGTCCTCGATTGGATTCTTCGAAGGATCGATAGCGAAGATATTGCTGAGGACTCGCCCATTGGCTTATTGCCAAAACTAGGATCTATAAATTTAGAAAATCTCACAGATAATGTAAACATGACGGAATTGTTCAGATTACCGAAAACTTTCTGGCAGAAAGAAGTCGAAGATTTGAGGGAATATTTTGATGCTCAAGTAGGAAACGATTTACCCAAAGCTATTGAAAAGGAACTCAATCACCTCTCTGATAACATTAATAATCTTTAATTGCCTACTTATATAATTGTATGTACATAAATTTGTAGTTATGTTTTTCAAGTATTCCTAACTTTCATATTAAATTATAATAACAGTGCAATTGAGATTTTTAATACAAGATTTGTATAGCAAAACTTTATCAACTTAAATAGCAGTTTTGAAAATAGAAAAGATTTTGTTTGATGTGCTACATTGTGCATAAGATTAAACAAAGTAATTTTAAATAATTATATATTAAATAATTTAATTAATTTTACTTAATTATTACTTAATTTTAAGTAATTACATATTAATAATTACTTAATTAAATTAATTAATCTGTAATAATTAATTAATAATAATTTTAGAATGTTAAAAGAAAATATCATTAAAACTTAAAAAACTATGAATATCTTAAATAAAAAATTTTATTAAAATAAATATTAAAAATAAAAACAAAATAATAAAGTTTTGTTATTTCAACTTGTATCACTAAATTTTATTTTGCAATGTTTAATAGCAAAATAATCATTATAATAATAATTGTTAATATTTAATTGTATGGATTTATTGATCGCATTTTTGGATATTACTATTCTTCCTTATTTCAATACTAAAATTATTGTGAAAAATGATTCTTAGTTTATTTTATGTTGACTGAAAAACATTTAGTGATAAGTAAATAGTATTAGAAAGATGCTCCATACAGATAAAATACATTTTTAATATATTTTTATTTAATTTATAACAATTTTTAGGACAACATAATATAATTTATATTTTGACTTTGCTATTATATTATAATCTATTTAATGAAAGTTTACAAAAAGTATACAGTAATATGTAAAAATATTTTGTATGTGTACATATGTATGAAAGAGATGTGTATTTTTATAAAACAGAAATTAAATCTTACTTTATTCTAACTATATCAAAGAGTGTATCTTTTATAATCATCTTCAATCGATTTTTCTGGAATATCCAATCTTTGATTTTTCAACAGAAATTTTCATCTTAGAAGCCACAAATAATCAGAAAGAGAGTCGATGTAGATCAGATGATGAGTAGAGTAATTGTAAGTATGGTTGTCACCAGTTCTTGTCATTCGACGATATTCCAGAAACTGAATTCAAGCTGTGATTGATCATTCAGTTTTTTTATCACAGTATAAAAATATAATTGGAGATAAGGAGGGCTAAAAACTAAAATAATTACTTATAATGAAAATATAACATCTGCGAGTGCACCAAAGTCAAAAATATAACTTATGCCCATTCTGCTATTATATTGTAGATTTAATCTCAGTTCAACTTACTCTCCACTTTTTTATAATTCTAAAAACTGGAAAAAGATAAAAAGTAAATTAAATCGAAATTAATCTACATTCGATAGAAACAAGTACAATTCTTTCCCGCGGTTTCATCACATAACATATATCTAGAAAAACTCGTAGAAATATTGTACAATATTTCCACCATGGAAAAACTGTCATTCAAATTTAAGTTGGCTGTCCTGTTCGCGAAAAGATAGGTAACCAAAATGAATTTTCCAAAATTTACTAGGACGAAAAAAGAAATCTAGAGTTTCAATGTTGGTAGTATGTATATAATAACATGCGCAATGTCAGCGAATCTGGCGGCAATGTAGTTTTGATGTAAGGAATGTATTTTAATAGAATTTGTTATTTAATACAATTTAATTGTTTAAACTGCGACAGAAATTAATTTATATAAATATGGGTATCACCGGGCTGCTACCGTTCCTAGAAAAGTCTTCTAGAAAGACGAATATCAAAGAGTTCTCTGGTGGGACTGTTGCAATTGATTCTTATTGTTGGTTACACAAAGGTGCATTTTCTTGTGCTGAGAAATTAATGATGGGAGAAATGACAGACGCGTAAGCATTAAATATATTCATTATTCTCATCGATATTAGGTTTGTTTTTTTGGTTAAATCTTTATATCAATTCATTTTTTCCTTTTCTCTCCAGCAGGAAAGAAAAGGAAGAAAGATGAACTGGTGCAAAAGTTCAGCCAAAAAGGACAAGCCTATTCTCTTTTACATTAATGGGTATTTAATAATTTTTCTATTCTATCAGGTACGTTGTGTATTGTATGAAATATATAAACATGCTTTTGAAATACAAGATAAAACCCATTCTGGTGTTCGATGGTCAACGATTGCTTGCTAAAGAGCAGACAGAAATCAAGAGACGCAAGTACGTACAAAGAAACAAATTATTCAAATATTATGAAGTTAAAAAATCAAGCTTTATTTACAAAAATTGCTTTAAGCTCACTGTAAATTCTAAATTAGATAAATAAATAACATGTACAACTGTATTGTTTTATAGAGCCAGAGAACTGAATCGTCGTAAAGCGATCGAATTGATACAAATGGGTAAAGTTACAGAAGGAACAAATTTATTGAGACGAGCTGTAGATATCACTCACACGATAGCATTAGAATTAATTAAACAATGTCAGAATGAGAACATTGATTGTATTATAGCTCCTTATGAAGCTGATGCACAATTGGCATATTTAAATATTAGTGGTATAGCTGATGTTGTTATCACAGAGGATAGTGACTTAACGCTATTTGGATGTAAGAAAGTTAGTATATTGTATTCTCTTATAGTTTAATTCTTTCTTTAAATTTCATTTTCTGTTACTTCTTTAATATATAATAACACCATATTGAGAAACAATATAAATGTTTTTTCAAGGAAAGAATTTATTTCCTGTTTATAATGATTGCTTTTTATTTGGTGACATAAGTTGACACAAGTATCATTCTATCTTTGTTACTCATTTCTAAGAAAGTATTATTTGTGTTTACTTGTGTCGCTAAATAGAAAGTATCTAATATTTTTTGCTATACATCAATTTTCTTAAGTCTTAAAAATTATAGATACCAGCTATTAGATAAACGTTTCAAATATGATCTTCATTTATTAAAGTGTTTTTATACCTTTTTATTATAGATATTTTTTAAAATGGATCTTGTTGGAAATGGGATTTTAATCGCACAAGATCAATTACATTTGGCAATGAATGTAAGATCTGAACAATTTGAAATGGATAAGTTCCGTCATATCTGTATTTTGTCTGGTTGCGACTATCTTCCTTCTCTTCCTGGTATTGGCTTGGGAAAAGCACGAAAATTTATTACGAAAAGTACAGACCAAAATATACATAGGGTTAGTTATGTCAAATTTAGCAGTAAACATTTCCATAGCTTAGCAATAAGAAAAACCTAACAAGAATTTTATAGAAAAAAACTATGACAATACGAATGAGAAAGTTGTATGCCTGTCTTAAATAATGCTGATTCAATATCTTTTAAGGCATTGACACGTTTAGGTTCGGTTCTCAACATGAAATCGCTAGTCGTGCCACAGGAATACAGAGACGCATTTATATTAGCTGAAATAACGTTCAAACATCAATTAGTATTCTGTCCATTGCAAAGGAAGCAAGTACGATTGAATCCACCGCCAGCTAATATCACTGAAGATCAATTGCAATATGCTGGGAAAGAGCTAGATGAGGACCTTGCTTTACAATTAGCTCTTGGGAATTGCGACCCAGCTACTTTAAAAATGGTTCATGATTTTAATCCAGATAAAATCGTAAGTAGTTGAATTAATTGTTACAAAACTATACATTGGATAATTTTTAGAAATAATATGGTACTCTAGTAATAAAAATTCAAAAGATTCATTAAATTTAATTACACATTGTAGGAACGAAAAAGAAAGCGAGATACAGGACAAACAATGATTCAAACTAGTATTTGGTCAGATAAATATAAATTGAAGATGAAATGTCAAAACTCTTCTCCTCTCTCTGTACTGAATTCGTCATTTCTTAATGGAAAAGAGCTTGGTAAAGAAAAAAAGTCTCTAAAGAATACATACAGCTCATTAAATTCACATAATAGTTCGAATATTCAAAGCGATCCAGAGGATCATGATTTACACAATGCTGCCATTTTGGATATGTATAAATCAAGTCGAGATGCTAAGCTAATCGACAATACTAACAAAGCATCAGAAGATTATTTAAATTTAACAAATAACACATCACCAGATTTACTTAAACAAAAAAATCCATTTATTAAACGTGTGTGTGATCTTACTACTTCACCAAATATTTTATCCAACGGGAATTATCGAAAAAGAGGAAGAAATTTAATGCGTGTAAGACGAACTCTTGTAGATGAAAATACTGTAATAGAAAGTAAATATTTCTCAAAATCAGATAATAAAGAGTGCAGTGTACTTGAGTCAGAGAATAAAGACATTGAAACCAGTTGGATAAGTACAAACTATAATACAATTTTAGATACGAATGTACATGATGTAACTCGGAAACAACTAGAAAAAAGATTATCTATAACAGACACTGAACAAAATGCAAATTCAGTGGAAAATATTAATAATCCATTTTTATCAAATCAAAATGATTGTTTAACTAATATTTATAGAAATGTTTCTAAAAAATCAAATCCTAATGATAGGATAGACGATGTACCATCAATGACAGATACAACAACTGATAAAAATTATGTAACAAATAATTATTTAGTATCACCAAATTCTAGTATGGATATTATTGATATAAACAATTACGAAAATGCGAATAGTTCGCAAAATGATTCACTCGAATGGATAAATACAAAAAATGTTCAAAGTTTCCCCCATAAAAGAAATACATTGAAGAAACGAAATTCATCGAATCTGGTAAATACGCAGATATATATATAAACAAGTTTTAGAAATAATAAAGGAAATATTAAAGTTAACTGCTTAGTTAATTGCTTATAAAATATTTCTTAGGTACAATTTATGATAAAAAAGAAAGGATTACATCAAAGTAAACAATCGCCAGCAGTTCCTAGACAACAAAGTTTATTAGACATGTATGGATTTCAAAAAAGGTAAAATAAAAATTGTGCCAAGCAATGGGCATGACATCATGTGTTATGCAAAATAATTTTGCACATACATTGTATGTATTAGATATAATTACTGAAAGATTTTATATAATCAAATTTTTTTTTCATAGGTCATCTTTTAAACACTGATTTTAAAAATCTATTAAAAATCTATTAAATTTACATAATTTACTGTTGACCAGAATGTACTAATTAATATTATTAGTGTGATAAGTATTGACAAATGCTCAAATGTATTCTGCAAAAGAATTAAAAGTCGAACATAGTCAGAAAAAGAAAATGTAATAACATTTAAATGCATTTAAAAGAATATTAATATAGACAAGTGATTAATGTTCATTTAAAACGAATTTGATTTGCCTATACAAATGAATCTTGCAGAGCAGCATGAATTCTTCTCTACATTACTTCACTGCCATATACACAAACTATTAATGAAACATTATAATTAAGCATTAGTATAAAAATAAATATTTCAATTTATCAATCATATTCTAAGAATTTAGAGCTTTAGAATGCTCTCTATATGACTTACAAGGTGAAGATCTTTTCTCATATATTATATTATGTTTATATACAGTTATTTGTAATCATAAACCTTGAAAATCTTTTTGAAAAACTGTAAACATTATATTAATTTAATTATAAAGAATTTGTCAATTATTATTGTTAATAAATTTCTTAAATAAGATTACACCAAAATAGACCATATAAAAAATTATATTTCTTAGCATTATCTAATAAGCCTTCATATAATTATCAAGTAATATTATAAGTGTTGCTAAAGATTGATAATTTAATAACACATTTCTGTTAATTATATAACAATCACATAGGCTGAAAATGTTTTTATTTATATTCAATTTTTTGTATCTTCTGATTCATCCCATGGTCGTGATATTCTAATGTTCTCCCAGTTGTCAAGATCAATCTGAATACAAAAAATTACATTGTATAAATCTAATAAGGCTTGTTCTTTTTAGCTAAATTTATTGCACAATTTCGTTGTTTCTTTTAAAAAAAAGGAAAAAATGAGCTATGCAAGAAATTCAGTTAGAAAAAAACAGACTTGTAATCTTGTAAAACTTATTTCAACCTTTGCCTACTGTTCTAACATGCATACCTTCTCCAACTTTTCATATTCTTTCTCCAAAGTAATTTCTTCTGGTGATTTCATTTGAAATCCCTCTTTTTCCAATTCATCGTGTATATCATATTGAGATGTACGTTTATATCTATAACTGAAGATTTATTTTGATGAGGAAATGTGTGTCTAACAGGTGACTTACTTATACTTTTTTATCTCCTAAAGCAAGTACCGTATTTCCGTAAATTCTCGAAGGCCAAACGATCCACCGAGAACAAAAATTAAAAACGGAACACCATACTGCAAAAGTCTAGAGCGTGACATTACATTTTTTTTTATTTGAAATCATAAAAAGTAATAATCATAACCTTCGTTTAAATTTCATTCTTCCTGTTTCGCAGGTTAGAATTTAGGATTAGGTTAGGTTAAAGATGCCTTTTCATGCTAACAATCGATGTTCATCTTTAGCGACAAAACAGATGGCGTGATCAAAATTGATGAATAGCAAAGCGTCAATTCGATCACGTGACGTATTTTGCCGTTAATGAGCATCAGCATGAAAAGGCACCTTTAATCAATGCTGCCAATTTCATTTCTTTGCCGAATTTGATTGGCGCGCTTGCGCATGGTGATCAGCTGAATCAGCGACGCATTTACGGAACTATGGGACGGAGGGAGGAGGGGTGGAAGAGGAAGGCCATCTGGCCATCGCTATTATTGTATACGACCAACGAACCAACCGTCAGTCGTTGTAGTATCAGGTTCTGTTTCTGTTTATTCTCCTGGACTGAGAAGTAAAACGTGAGCCAAAATTGGGTGATTCGCTGACGTAAAAGCGTTTCGGACGCATCCGGGTGAGCACTCGTCATTAATCTCACTATATTTCGTTTATACTTTATCGAAACGAAGAATAATGGAGGGGAAAAAAATTTCGCGAAATTTCGGTGGATTTGTCAGTTGATTGTTTTCGTTTCTTTTTACATTCTTCATCTAATCGCGCGGATTGACTAGATTTTCAAGACGATAAATCCAGCCAAAAGAATGAATTTCGATTACTTTTTACTTCCGGTTTAAATCGAGTTTCCAATCGTTGGTGCGTCGATTCTTTGTGTTGTAAAGTAGAAAGACCGTTCTGTTTAGGTCTAGATATATTCTGTTTGTTGATAGCAACGGGACTAACGAAAGTCATTTGATACTTGGATCTAAGAAACTTGAGAGATTGTTTTGAACGAAGTTCCTTTGCTGTTCTATTGATTAAGCTTCCGATTTACGAAGAAAGCGATGCGTGGGTCAGTGTACTCTTCTATTATGAACTCCGTTACGAGTATTGTTTCTTTCGTTTATTCCTAGGCACGTATTATAAAATTATTCGGAATGCATTCCGAATAATTCCATAGTACGTGCCCTGAATGGAGTCAAAGTGACAAAATAGCAATGAAAATAAACGTTGGTATTCTTACGACTTAATATTATAATTAAAGAAAAAAAGGAAACAACGAAGAAGTGAAATTTGCAATTTATTTGAGCCAAGCGACTTAATTCTTTGTTTTATAATATCCATTTCCAATGCAGATTAAATCTTATTTAATCTTAAAATTAATTTAAAGAATATTCTAATGCTTATAGAACTAAAAAGATAAAAGAAAAAATTGAAGAATTTAAATTAATGTGCATTGCATTGCATTTTTTAAAATCAAATATGAAAAGATAGAGAATATTAAATTATTATTTAAATTATAAATTGAAAAAGTATTATTTAAATTTATTGTGATGTAACTTAAATAAAAAATATTATTTAATTTAATATAATTAATAATTAGATCTATTTTTTATATCTTTTTTAAATCAAAAATATTTTTGGAATATCAAAATTGTAATTAAGCATTTCACAAATATTAAAAATGTTATATAACGTTTCGCTAAAAATATTTTTAAAAAAGGAGAGGGACTTCTTCAAGAGGGGCCATGACCTTCATAGCTCCCTCCCCTCTAGATTCGCAGTGTTACATTGAGGGAAAACGAAACGATGAACATACATAAACGATGAACACAGACGAACAGAAATCGGTTATTTCATCATCGGTTTATTTGATTTTTATCAATTGATTTAATATGGAACATATTTCATTTTTTATTAATTCTATCATTTCTAGAAATTTGTATAGATTCGAAAAATAGTTCGCCGGTTATAATTAAGTATCGTCTCAAATGTTTGGAAATGGCAAAGAATCGTTTGCTCCTGAAATGTGATATTGTTAAATTTAAAAAATTTAATTACGTTAATCACATTTCTTTATTTTATATGTATAATTTTTTAAATAATTTACTCACATATTCGCAGTATTTGCTACCAATTTTAGCCATCGCAGGATTTATATACATATATAGATGCATCTTCTAACATGTGTAACATCGAAAAATCAATAAATATTTACGTCGGTCTGGAGTGCATTGAACTCTGGGAATATGTACAACGATGACGTAACCTTTAACCTCGTAACGGCGCAAAAATACTTACTACCTTATCTCGATTATTCGATGAATACATAAATTATATTATATTAACACAGCATACATTATATTGATAGAGATTAAATTATTCCGAGAATATTTAGCAAATTCGAATTTTTAATTATTTTTTAATTTTTAAATAATTTTTTAAATAGTATGAAACGACATTTGATAACAATATATATATAATATATATTATATATATTATATATATTAATGTCGTTTCATACTATTTAAAAAATTATTTAAAAATTAAAAAATATTCTATACCAAAAAAAATTTCTTTACTGAGCTGCGAAATTTCTACGCAATACGGCACCTTCCTTTCGTCATCATGTCAGCTCTGGACCGTTTCGTTGGTCAGAAAAAGATACGAGTTAAACGCTGTCTTTCTCTTTTTCCCCTTCTTCTGTTATCCGAATCACGAGTCCCCAAGCTACCACATCATTTTACGAATGATTTGTTTGCTCCGAACGATAGAGAAGTCTTTTCTAAGTAAACCTCCACCGCGTGTGGAACTAAACAGGTAGTCTAATGTCCATTTCTATTAATATAGATTAACTTTAATCTCGGTTCAACTTACTCTTTATTCTTTTCTAATTCTTAAATCTGGAAAAAGACAAAAAGTAAGTTAAATTAAAATTAAAGTTGATTTACATTGATAGAAACAGATATTAACTTTTTTTTTTCATCACTATAGATTAACTTTAATTTGGTAGATTAACTTAAACTCGATTTAATTTACTTTTTTTTTATATTTAAACTGGAAATTATTGTATATAAATTCACAAGAAATATTATTATGAACGAAGAATCGCTTTGACCGAATATAGTGTTTTCTATTCATGTGTCTTTATTTTTTTTAAATTCTTATAAAGAATAGAAAGTAAATTCTTATAAAGAATAGAAACTGGAACTAAAATTAATTTATATATATATATATATATATATATTAGTAGAAATTGCCATAAACAATAATTCAATCGGAGATTATATAATTTAACCGGCAAAACTTTTAGCTTGTCTTGTTTTATCAGGCATCGTGAAGTTATATACGAATATCGTAGTATTAGACAAGTAGATTGTAACATTTCAGGTTTGTTTTCAACGTTTCGCTCTTGTTTACTTGCTTATTCTTGCATTTTATTCTTGTCTTGTGAATGCGTCGAAAAAAAATATAATCGCATTTCATTTTTCGGTGAATTCGCAATCGAGAGTCGATGCATCAATCGAGTATCTCTATAAATGCATAATATTAATATTCTATGAATATGCTTAAAATATTGAATAATATGCGCCTATATACGGATACTGATCCGAAAACTACGCAAGACTTTGACCAAAATACGCAATTTCTTCGACAGAGAATGCCACTTATCTTCCCTGTGACGTCAGATCGTGCAGACTTATAACGTTGACTCGCTTAATTTGGAAGTGATTCGTCTTTAACTTTCAACGCTGATAATATCTAATAAATCACATTAAGTCGGATTTCTCTTATATTTCTTGCACACTTGACATTGAAATTTGTGGTATTTCAGTAATGACGGATTTGGAAGGTGGCTTGTTTACGAGTATATAAACATAACTTTATCTCTATCTGAAGTGACTGTTTATGAAACGTCATTGTTTCATTTATCGAAGATACCTGACTATCTAGCCACGATGTTGACAGTCATTCATTTCCTTTTCTTCATTATTTTTCACGTATTATAGAACTGTTCGGAATGGATTCCAATTGGAGTTATTCCTAGAAAACATAATAGAATCTAGAGAATAATTGAATAATTTGTATTGAAATCCATTTTGAATAAGTCTACAATACTATTTTGTTGCTTCATACATCCAATACGATCTGCTCTCTCACCTCGAAGGTGATTGAGGAAAAAAAGAAGGAGAGAGAGAGAGAGAGAGAGAAGTCCAAGTGCTTTATCGGTATGTTGCATCCTTGAGACGCTCTCTTTTCAACCGAGTCGCACAAAGGCAATACGTAGCATTTTGTTTATATGAGCAGTCGTGTTAAAAGAGAAAATGATTCGATCGACCTTGCATAATCGTGCGTTTGTTCACGTACGACGCAGAATTATTTCAGCATTGAAGGCGTAAGACGTTTTCATAAGGTCAACTTGATCTACTTTGATGAATATCAATTACATGTCACTGGAGAAATTTTTTAACAATGAAAAGAAAACCTTGCGACGCATTGGGTTCAACTTCTAATAACAAATTCGAGAAATGCAAATGGAAGTTAATAAGATAATTTTAACGTAATTCTTTATTCGAACTTGTTGAGGGACTAAACAGTTGTTGATAATCGAGTACTTATTAGTTTTGATAATAACAGCTGACTTTAAAAAATTAAAGTCCAACACATCAAACTCTTATTATCCAAATAATTATCGGAGCATAAACTTCTTCGTGCAAATAGGGTACAAATAAATGGAATTCTACTGTATGTTATCTATTACAGTGCTGAAAATTTATTGTAATTAGAATGTTCGTAGTATTAACAAATTCTATATTAACAATTTCTGTAGTAACTTCATCTTTCGATGTATAAAATGTTTTTGATTTAGAAAAACTCTGATCTAAATCGAACGAGAGATAGCTATTGTTCAAAGTTTGTAAATTTTGGGATATGCCATCTTTTTTTTCTCATTAATGATATTATGTATGGACACGAAAAATTTATCTCGAACTCTGTTTATACTCTTATTACTCTGTTTACAGATACAAGGCTGGCCAGCTGCGCCATTCTTGTTGTGTGGTTCTTCTCATCAGCCACACTACACCCGTCAAACCTGGTTGCCGGGTAGTCGTAGTCGGATTGTTGTAGTTAGCTGTTGCGATGTCGCACACCGCAGGAATGGACACGGGCTTGCCTGTACCGGATGCCATCCCTCCGCTCGAAAAACTTCAAGAAGACCTGGTCTTAGACCTCGTCCAGGAGATCAAATTTCAACCGGACCTCCGTCAATTACCTATAATAACACAGGTAAGAACATCCATGTTATGCAGAGGAAACTGTTAAAATTTTATAAACTAGCATCAATGAAACTATCGATTATGATGAACTTTATCTTCTATATTTTAATATAGCAAGATTTTAATATAATATCTTCAAAGTTTTAAGATTTAACATATATTACAGATTAATAAAGATTAATGATAGTATTTGTTTATATAATTATCGAACAATTTCTGTTTGTCCAGGACGATGAGATAACGATTGGTGCTCGAGACAGATCTGCTCATGTACTAAGATGCCTAAAAGTGATGTACGATTTGCCTTCAGACGTATTTTTCATTGCGATAAATCTGATAGATCGATTCTTGACTAAAATGAAAGCAAGGCAGAAGCATATGGCCTGCATCAGCGTGTCAGCCTTTTACATTGCTGCCATCCAACGGATGCAGTCTATAGATGCCGAGCACTTAATCTCGATCTCACAGTGCAGATGCACTGCTGATGACTTGAGGCGCATGTCGGAAGTGATACGAAATAAATTGGAATGGGCACCCGGCACTGAACCTACTACCGCTCTGACTTTTCTACAGTTGTTCAACAAAATGTTTCATGCGGTAGCGAAGCAAATGCATCTCGGCGACGTGTATATCAATATCGTCAAGGTGAGCTATCATCTCCTAATTTATTTATAGGATAATCTCTGAGTCCATCGTCTCTTATCACAGACATGGTGATCTCTTCTGCAGATATCATACGAAACTTACAATTTTTGCTGGTTCCAAATGGCTTATTAGACGAGATTTATGGCAAAGATATTTTCGGTGATTTGTTTTCTAAGAGATCAAATAAAATCTGATATATGTATGTTCTAGGTGGATTTGAATCCGGATCTTTGGCACAGAGAGCCATGCAACTCTATGCCACGATCGCTACATAGATAATAAAAAAAAAGAAAAATCACTCTCCTTGATATCAAAAAATGAAGCGCTAATGAAAAAATATTCGAAATATTTGTTAAATCACACGTTAATCTTATTAACGAGATACTACCGTGTATCCTGATTCATTTTTATTAATATGAAATGATGAAGCTGTACTCCTACGAGCATCATTCGTCCTGTTTCAGGAATCTGAATTGATCCTCAGATTGGAAATGGTTGCTTGCGACGGTAGCTGTGCGAGTCTCAGGCTCTCCGAGGTGGCTCTGGTATTACTCTGCACTTATTTGGATTCTGCTGTTAATCGACTGAATGCAAATACAGACGCCACCGTGTCTGCCGACGACCCATCCTCATATAACACTTCCGTCATTACATCGTCCTATCAGATGCTGAAAGACGAACTCATGCAGTTTGCTGTGGAGCTTCGAGAGAAATGCAATGTAAATATTTCATTATTCGCTTTTTAAGTATTATTTAGTCTAAATAAATATCGGAAGAAATTGCGAAAAATATTTTCGTTGAAATGAAAATTCTTCAAATAAATTTTCGAAGCAAGATTAAAACAAAGAACAAATTAAAGTAGAAAATTACAGGATAACTTGGCTCGCGTAATTTATTTGTTGATTTAAGCTCATATTTTTAATACGTTTTAGATTTCGGAAGAGAGTTTCCGCTCCACTCATGGGACGGTGGGTGCTGTACTGAGCAAGTATAACGCCCAGGAACAAACACCTCATAGACAGAAGTTAATCTGGAAACTTTCATCTCGCACTGCATGTATTCTACGTCCGACCGACAAATTCAGATCTGTACTACCAGCCATCGCGGAACATGCGCCGATTCCATCTCCGAGCAGAATCAGGTATCTATCACCACTTCTCTCTCTTTCTCTGAGTCGCAATTAAAAAATGTCATATATTATTGGAACATAGGATTGCATGAATCTTTCTTTTGTAGAAAAACTCGTAAATACGCCCGACGCCATGGCAATAAGAGACGTTAAAGTAACATCATCATTTTTTTGGAGGTATGATTGATTTTTGTTCATTCTCTACTGTTGAAGATAAATTATTACAAATTTTTGGAACGAATCTTGTTACATGTTTATTTTTTACTTTCTTTCAGAGTACGGTACTGGAATTTTCATCTGATATATCACGTTTTTGATATATTAGATGTCTAGTATACGTCAAATAAAAGCGCAAGATTATCACTTTTTCCAGTACGAAGATCAAAATTTTACTCGAAAGTACAAACGTCGATTCACGCATTGCAATGATTTTCCATAGATACTTTGTTTACATGCTCTTTAGATGTCATACTGGCAAGATATAAGTCGTCGTCTTTCACTATATAAATATAAGATATAATTATGTATAAACAACGTGTCATAAGATCGCAAAGTAAACACAATGGCCGGTATTCATAATCGGTTTTTATCTTAAGTAACGTCTTAAGATGCTAATGAGACTCTAATTGATTCATGATGTACTAAAGACAATCTTAAATATAAGAATCGACTATAAACCCCAGCCAATAAGTAATGAAAAGGTCTTATCGATCTGAGCTGGATTTTAAAGATTCACATGCTGCTAAAACAATTAGAGCAACGGATCTGTCACTCTTATTTCAGCAGCTAAAATGATAGTGCTATCGCCGTGTCGATCATATTGATCAGCGTTGATATATATAACTTAATTTATTCTTTGTTACTGATCCAGGTAACACACACAGAGCGTCAAATCTGTTACTCAAATGTCAAATTCGGCGATTCTTACCTTTTTTCATGTATAAAGTCCTTCGACAAAAAAAGTCAATACGTGATCTTTTTTTGTCACTGAAACGGCCAATTTGAGCGGCTCGTAAAACTGCACCTTAATTAAATAATATTTCGGTGTGAATTTATATACATATCCAGTTCTAGTTTTATAGTTCTGTATGTTTTGCCAGTATGTGAATTATCGTACTATATGTTGATCTCTGCTGCTAACTTTTTCATTGCATTACACGTACATATTTTGAGATATTTATGCAAATATTTTATAAAGAAAACACAGAGTTATTCTTTCTGTATTCCAATGACAAGATTGGAATTAAAGTGCTGTTACAAGCATGAGGAAAAGGAGGAATAGAAATGAAGTAAGTTCGTCTTTACGAAGTATTGAAAATTAATGTGATACAATGTCATTTATAGTGATTATCTAATTAGTAAAACAATATCGGTAAAAGCGTGTATATCTGTATATTTACAAAATGTGTTGAAAACGAGCAAAAAGATATAAAAGAAAAAGTAATATAAAAGCTGTAGTAACGAAAGAACGTTAAGAATTTCGTATAACGTAAAATTATTATTAAAAAAAGAAAAAAGGATTATAAAGATAAGTTGGCCGGTACAAATAAGAGGTGAACTTGCTAAAACCTGTGTTTGCTAAATTTGATAAAGAAAAAAAAATGTTTCTTGTCAGGATTGGCAAAAAGATGTTTTTTTTTTTAAACAAAATATTGTAATGTTTTTTAATGTTTCATACGTGCTTTAAACAGTTTATAAAAATATGTTTAAAAACATCGATTAAAACGATTTTAAATCGTTTCAAACGGTTTAAAACATGTGAAAAACATTATTTTTACCAACCCTGAATTTTATTATGTTTTGAAATCTTTTCTTTATAGTGTATTTGCATTGAGAAAACGAAGCAATTGATAAAATGTAACACGGATTTGTGTTGTACTTTGAATGAATTTCTGAGTTGTACATACGTATGTATGGGTCAGATAAGTAATAATCAATAACGAGAAAAGTACGAACTGTAATAAATTCATTCAACATTTCAAAATGCACTAATGGATAACGTAGAATATTGGAAACAAATTTTGCTATGCAATGTAGAAGAGACATGATTTTTTGTATGTAAATACCAAAAATAAGACATTGTATTTTCTTTCTTTCAAAAATCGTGTTCGAATCATTTTTTATTCGTACTAAATTATCTTTTATATTAGATTCTCTTGCAGTTATAAAAGAATGCTTTTTATTGATATCGGTTAGCTTTATGTGATTTATATCATTACCTGATTTATATCGTGATAAGATAGTTCTAAACATGAGTGTCAAGGAAAAGGTGTGAAGAAATATTCTAAGTCCGATCTCTGTCTGCCTCTCAAATCTTGATTGGTTGCGTAATATAACAAAGTATAGACTGCGTGCGTTCTACGTTTGCAACTATCCTAGCGGAAAAAAAATTTTTACGAAAAAGTTACAGAAAAATTATCCTTATTGAGACAAGATTAGAAATTCTTAGTTTTTTGTAAAAATTTTTTTGCCAGGACAATTAAGGATTAAAAGCGATTATCATATCGAAATATGAGAAGTGAGTATCGAATAAACTTCAAAAGTAAACGAAAGCATGTGAACGATGCGTCATAATGCGAGCAAATATGATTATAATTTTATTTGCCAAGAACTTGAATTTTTTAGACGATATTTCTCATCTATTTACGCTGCACACCAAAAACATTAAACGATAAGTCGTTATTCACAGTTCATGGTAGCTCATGATTTGCGCATTTGGGAATTTCGGTTTGTATTCTTTGCATTTGTAATAACTGATGAAAAAGAAAAAAAAAGAAACAATTGATAGTTCAAATAAATTTGTAAATCTTAGCCAGTTTACGCTAGTCATAAGTCGTACCGTACTTTCATTTTATGATCTGTGAAAATACATTCTCTTTTTGCCATGTGGCATCAATACATCATGCAAATTTCATTCTACGAAGCTTTTTTTATTTTCTAACAAAACCACATCACTATCGATAGAAATCATTTGAAGTATCATGTATGTTGTTATACATATATATTGTGTACATTACATCCAAATAATTTTATCAAAAGAGCACAAATTTTTACTTGTCAATATTGTACATTACATATACTTCAACATTGTTAATATATTATTGTTTTTAATCAGCAGGTATAATACATTTCAAAAATTTTATGTAATGTGGAACACGTAAAAAATAGAATGTACATATTTGTATTTTATATTGATCATAAAAATTGAATTTGTAATGTACAAAATTCACTTGTAATAAAATTATAGAAGTATGGAGATAAAATATAATCTACCGTAATCTTTTACAAACAAATGCAATCTATTTCATGCCATGAATTGGATACATACATATATTATACAACATGTACACGAGCAATCTTTAACTTTATTAACTCGTTTCAATATATAATATTACACGAATCACAGACATTTAAATTATAAGATGCAAAAAAATAAGCAAACTTGTTATATAAATTAGATATGTTTTCTTTAAAAAAAAGAACAGATGTAAATCTTTGTCACAGTAATGTGTCTTCCGAACGAATATACTCTCCAATATCTGCTTGGTGAAAGCAAATTACTGCTACTGGATCTGCGTGTTTGCAATCAGCTGTACTTTTTGCAGCAACGCCAAATCCCTAAGACATTAAATAGGAAACATAAATGTACTTATTATTGTCTTATTATCTCTTTTTATATAATAATGTTTAAATGAAAGAGATAATCAACAATACATTGAAAATTGTATTTAATTCGATATAACATACCAGTGGCAAATCATTCATGGAAAATATGACGACACCTTGATATTGATTAGTGCCTTCTGTTATACGAGCAAGACCTGATTTCATAATATGATTTCCATAGAGAAACTGTTGCTCCGCCGAAGGTTTTACCCAAATTTTGTGCTTGATAAAGAATTTTATATTGTAAATTTGCAATACTTATTTATTATACTTATTTAAATTTGAATATATTTATAAATATGCATACTCACTTGTGCATAAGGCGCTAGATAATGTAACGCAGTGATATGTAACCTGAACTTTCCTGATTTTGTGAATTTACCAAAACAAGTGCCTAAACTTAACAGATGATCAGATTCTACGTTATTCGCTAACGATAAAATTTTCTCCGACACATAATACACCCTGTCCTTTTTCTCCCGAAAGCAATAAATACCATCTGGTCGATCAATCAAATTCTTCACATTAGTACCAATGCTACAACAATTAATTTGAGATTATTACGAATATACCCAATATATTTAGAACCTACATTCAATTAGACAATTATGGAATAAGCATAATTTAAATTGTAAAGTTACTTACTACTTAGTTAGCTTCTCGAATACAAGCTTTGTTTTCTCCTCTGATAAACGCTTCATTTTTAGAATATACAAGAGAACATAAAATAAATCATTTATTTATTTTCTTTAAAAGCTCCACGTGATACCTCTTCATTCGCATTTCACATCTCAAACACGTATAAAGAAACGCTCATATCACAATAACTATTAGTAGCCATTCAATCGATTTGGACAAAAAAATTCAACCTATCAGCGTTTTCATTCACGATTGTCGTTCGATTGTCATTTGTAGTTACGTTCAGGGAGAAACCTGAGAGAGATGCTAGTTTTTTTCCTGTTACCGTCGAAATCGCCCGAATACTACATTATTGCCAGAACATCCATTTTCAATTTGAGAACGTGACTATATACATTTTCTGACACTATCGATAAAATTGCTGCGTTCGGCAATGTAAATCAAGGGATCGATTCTATATATTGAAACGAGGTAAAAATTATAAAAGTGAACGAATTTACTAGAATACTGATAATTTCATTGGTCAACACTTAGTAAATTCGCTCACTTTTATAATTTTCATCTCGTTTCAAGATACAGAATTGTACCTGTATTCATAGTCAGACCTCATACTTAAGGCTTCCTTAAATTTATCTTTAGATATTCTACGAATTATTTCATTGGCTGCTGAGCATCTAAAGATAAATTTAAGGAAGCCTTAAGTACAAGGTCTGACTATAAATACGGGCATTAGAATATCATTTGTATAATTACAAGAATTTAAAAATTTATAATTTACAATATAATTTGTATTTACAATACGATATTTTCAATTATTGCGCCAGAAAACTTTTTCTATGTCGAAACTCATCAAAAATTGTGTAGTTTACGATTATTCCGGTAGAGGGCTATTTAAATTGCGTTCTAAAACTCATGGAAAACATTCCATACTTCACGATTATTTCGACAGAGGCCCTTCCTTTTTTTTTTTAAATATACGTTTCCAAACTCAATATTTTTGCTGAGTTGGTCTCGTGTTTACATCCGGAGGATGGCGGAGGACTCATCGTGAATAAGCTCGCCCCTCCCGCCACGTTGTACATCTTTGCTCATTTCTCGAATCTCGCTAGGGCCGAGAACACGTCGCCGTGGATCTTTCCCGGCATTTCCCCATCGACGGTGAGAGAGCGAAGCGGACGCGCGTCCCTCGTGTTTATCTGTAGAGTTCAAATCGTCCAGCACGAACGATGAAGGTAACGGTGACGACACTCAGCGACGATAGCGTCTTCGTCCTTGACGTGAGCGAGGAGCTGGAGCTAGAGAACTTTAAAGCGTTCTGCGAGATTGAGAGTGGCGTGCCGGCCCATGAGATTGTGATTGCGTTCAACGGTCTGCCACTTATGGACGACAAGAAGTCGTTGCGCGATCATGGGATCCGTGACGGCGATGCTGTCATCCTCCAGCATATGCATCAAAGCGGCAGCGATTTGAACTTGCAGCCCTTCAACAGAGGTAGATACCTACGAATGGTCCATTTATCGATTTTTGTATTTAATGGGAGTTCTACAATGACTACAAATTTGTAGTCGATAATCGAAAGTCTTAAACAGTCTTCACCTTAGTCATACAAGTTGGCTATTGGCCAACCAATTAAGTTTAGGTTTGCGACCTTATTTTAAGAGGTCCTAAGCTGTAAAACCGTAAGAATTGACCAATCATAGTAAATTATTTTTCTCATATTCAACCTGTGATTGGTCAATTTCTTAAGGCTTTACGGCTTACGACCTCTTAAAGTAGGATTGTGGATCTAGACTAAGGTCGGTATTCATAGTCTTATATTCAAGATCATTTTAAGTACAAGAACCAATCAGAAGACTGTATTAGCATCTTAAGACATTACTTAAGACGATCTTAAAATAAGAACCAACTATGAATACCAGCCTAAGACTTAGGATCATTTAAGACTTCCTACTACTAACTCATTGCAGAACCCTGATAAGACTATCTTAAGCTTTATCTAGTCTTGGGATGTTAATCCATTAGAGATCAATACTCATAGTTGATTCTTATATTTAAGACTATCTTAAGTACAGTCTTAAGATGTAATGAACCAATCAAGAGAGTTGCATTGGCATTTTAAGATATTACTTAAGATAAGGTATTACTTAAAATAAGAGCGAATTATGAATACCAGTCAAAGAGCTGTATTAGCATCTTAAGATAATTTTAAAATAAGAATGAACTATAAATGCTGCTTTATGTGTTAATAAAGCAAAAAAAATTTTACTTCATGTACAGCTCAAAGAATGTTTGTTATT